TTCAGGTTTCCCTGAAGGCGGGGGTCCAAAAAAAGCAGATGTACCCCCTTCGGTTTTTTTTGGGGGGGCTTCGTGCAGATCTTCTTGGGTGTGTGGTGAAAAAGCAAAAATGGGTCGCGTTGGATTCAGGTCCCGAGCAGAAGGAGGTGGTGGTGATCACATTGCACGACATCCTGGATTGCCATGTGCCTGTGGCTCAGCTCTGCTTCTATCTGAGGTTTGGCCACAAGTCTGGGTGGCTCTCAGCCATCCCCTTAGCCTTTTCGCCTTTTAGTGTTTAGTGGTAGTTTCCATTTGTCTCACTAAAAGTCAAACTTTTAGCGGAGGATCTGAGGGCAGCCCAGAAGTGATTTCGAAGTTGCTTGTCATTGAACCACCCCTTTGGCCAATTTGAGGTGAGGTTTTGTTTGGGTGATGCTTGAAGGGGAATATGGGCAGCCCTGTACAGTGTGGATGAAATTCCACTTTGCGACAACTGGGTTTGATGAAGCGCCATGAATACTCCTACCAGCTGGTGCAGGAGTTTTATCCATCCACAGGTGTCTTTTTGTTAAGGTCGGTAAGTGAATCCTTGGGTTTCATTGCTTGTTGGTTCCTGATCATAGACATCCATTTCGCCCAAAGGATACCTGGTTTCAAATTGCCCTAGAGCTCATTTCGAATGAGATTCTACGACCCTTTCGAATGGCTGATTTGTCATTCGTTCTGGCCATGGGTTTGAATGCTTTGAGAAGCAAACCGGATGCTAACCCAGAGCCACGTTTTCCACACCATTCGATGCCCGCCCTTCTCTCCGAGTGGGTACCCTCGCTTTCCTTTTCCTGGCACATGGTTACAAGGTTCAGGTTCTCTCATTGCAAAGGACTGCAACTCAAAAGTTGCGAGCCGCGCTAACGACGTGTTGCGAGGAACTGAGTGGAATGCCGGGAGCAAGTTCCTGGGCATCATGAAGGTTGTTGTTGGGTTTGCCCCTGACTTCAGCCAGGTGAATTGGGTTTGCTTGTTTTGTGGAGCTGCAGCGGTACCTTTTTTTGGGAGCTTCAATCGAAGTTGAAGGGAAGCTTGAAACGCCATGTTGGGGTCACCCTAAGTCGGTGCCTTCGTGGCTCAAGGGAGAGCTCGGGGCTCGCCATGCGGGCAGCGCGCAGCGTGCGGTCTCTGCATGAGGCGGGGAGATGTCCAGCCAGCTAACCTGGGCTGGAACCCACTTGGGGTGAGTCATGAGGAGGGCTGCCTTCAGAGCTACCCCTGATTTTCGAATGGCGAAATTAGTTGTGGTTTGCCCGGACTTGTAAGATACCATAGTGAGGAGTCGTCACCATTTTTTGGGCAGCTCACTAACTTGTCCACCCCCAGGTTTGGTGGTTGGAGCTTCAATGTGTTCCAAGGGAAGCAAAACCTCAACTTGAATCAAGGGTCCACATATGAACAATACTTCTCTTGACTCCAGTGCTTCCAGTCATGTACGAGTACCACTATTGGAAGTGACCAGGGGAACCATCATGTAAAACGAGGCAAGAAAATCGATGGCTTACTTAGTGGTCACTGGAAGGACCGGGTCCTCCATTGGGTCAACTCCGCTTGCATTGGATAGTGGGAATCGTAAAGTTATTCAGTGTTACTTCGGGCCTCGAAACGTTGCCAACCAGGACAAACATGGCTGCTGTTAGTTTCCCTCACCAGGACTTGTAGAAGAAGAGAGCGGTTCATCGCTAGCTGATAACAAGATCAACTTATAGCAGGGGTCAGTTTGACCAACCAGCTTGTAGAATAATCAAAGCGAGGTAGCTCCCATGAGGCAGACACGAGCTTCATGAAGAAATCTACCCTGTGACAGTGAACCCCCAACACGTGCACATCGCTTGCGTGGGGATGAGGCTCATTTGAAGGCTCGATTCATGTTGATCAATAAACCAAGTGCCCGAGGTCGTCCCCACTTCTCAACTCCATGATGGTGGATATGATGAGGAGTGGCTCGATCCGGCGCTTGCAGTCAAGTGGGAGTGCATGACGCTTGGAACCGAAAGTTGATTCATTCGGAATCTTTGGGCGAGAGGAATTCCGGCACCTACTTGTCGCTGAGGACTTGTCTGTGTGTGTGGTTGCGTGTGTTTGCTAATAATTACTCTTTTCAGGCTGAAAGCAACAATAAAGCTCCACCGTTGCCTGTTTTGACACATATCCACTTGTCCTAAGTTCCACATTGCGGAAGTTGGTACCGAGCAATTGGCTCCAGGTTGGAATGAGCTGGCTCACCACCAAAACTAGGTTACCTGGTTCATGTCCAGCCGGACTGATCAGCTTTGACTGGAAGCTAAAAACCCTGGGACTGGCTCCCTTGGGCTGTCAACCTCTCGGACCTGTACTTGAACGCTCGGGGCCTCGCTCGAATCCGGCGTCCGCTGGAGTCCGAGCTGAGGATCTGCAAGTGTGTGGCGCGGGACGTGGTGTCGCCCGCCTGTTGCGGGGAGCTCTTCTGTGAGATCTGCTGGGCGCCTCCGTCGGGTTTTCGGGGGGGTGTTCGCAAAAGGGCCGAACCACAACCCCAATCCATGCGTGTCGAATGAAAGGACCTGTTGAGCTTAGGGTTTAGGTTCAGGGCTTTCCGTTTTTTGGGGTTAAGGTTTAGGGTGTTCGGAGTTTGCTTTCCGTAGCCGAGTTTACCGGGACCCCAGTCGGAGCTCAAGCCCTCCAATGTCTCAAAACACTAGCGAAGCCTGCGCAGTAATTTACATTTGCAGCAACCCGTCCCGAGGGGCGTTGGGGCGGATCACATTGCTTGGCCGTAGCCACAGGGAAGACCAACGTCAACGTCAACAAACAAAACAAACGCACCCGAAGGAATGTTTTCCTGGCAAACCCATAAAGCTGGGAAGGGGAAGGTGGATGTCCTCAGAAAGGCGCTGGAAGGGTGTGTTAAGCAAATCAACCGGTTTGTGTTTGAAGAGCATCCAAAGGGATGTTCGTTGATAAGATACATAATATGAGCCTGGAAATGTAGTACACACCCAAAGTGAATCAAACCTCGGTGTGAATTCATCCTGTCAAATCAGCCAGTTCTGGTTCCCTCCGGGCAGCCGTAGTTTGAACCCAAAAACATGTCCCCGCCAGGCTGCCAGGGCCCGCCAAAAGTGATCCGGATAGTTTCCAAATTGGGAGGACAACCCGATTATTTTAGAAAGAAACAACCAACAAACTGCGCCAACATTGATTGATGAATCCTAGGCTTTGAAACAATAGAAGGGGAAGCCAAAGGGACAGCTCGCCTGTGGTCACTGGGCCTCATTTTTAGATTTTCAGGCTGTATTGCTCGGGAGAGCGTGTGTCAATCTTGGAAGGTATTTTCTCCCCAGTTAGCGGCCAAATCCTCACACCCAAAGCCAAATCTGATTGATGTCCGAAACAAGCGTAAACCATGGCAAATATTGGGGCGCGGTGTCCAGTACTTCTTTGCCAGCGACATGTCTGGGTGGATCAACGTGTCAGGTGAAATGCCAGCAGCGTGAAGAGAAGTGCCCTCACTGCCGGGAAGCGACCAAGAGCGCTGATCCCTCCAACAAGGACCGGAAAGAGATTCGGCGCCTCGGCAGGAAATGTTCAGGGGGCTTGGCAAAGCTTCCTCAGACTTCCTGCGATTCCAGAGTTTGATTTTTTACCTGGGAAGATTGCGCCCAACAAGGCAAATCAAGCTTGTGTTAAGGGGTGCTTGCATGATGGTTGTCTATGACAGAAGCCACAACTTCGTGTATTTATATGAAGTATATTGATATCGGGTGCAATTACCACTTTCGTGAACGTCGAGACAAGATCGTGACGGTGGATGCCGATTCCGGCCACGCAAGTAAATCAACCACAAACCATTGGAATCTACAGGGTTTGCAACTTGCTCCGTTGCAATACGGCAGGGGCATCCACCGTACCTTAAGGTTGGGTGAGAACCCTAAGCAACCCATCGAAGCTTTGATATTCCTTTTGTGTCCACCGGACCTGTCGCGTGGCTTTTTGCGCTCTCTTCGCACTCGTGGTGGAATTCACGGCATCCAAGACATAGCCATGACATAGCCCAGTGAGCACTGACCGATGCGCGAGCCGTTCAAGATTCTATGGTCGGCAAGGGCGTTTGGAAAGGGCCCCGCAATCAGCATAGGCTGATGCTATCGCCAAAAAGTTAGCTCAAGGAGACCCAACAGGGTTTACTCGAAGGGCCCTTGACTCATCCAGGAAATACCTGGAGCATCAAAATACCAACTTACAAATGGGTTGTTGCACCCATAATTATGCGGTGAATGGGTTTTTGAGGGTCCAGGTAGGTTCATTGTTGCTTGTAGCAGCAACTCGACCTTGGGATGATTTCTAGGCCACGTGCCCCTTCCAAAGGGGAGAGTCACCACCCTCCCAAGGAACACGGATAGATTCAGGGCGAGGCAAAGGGAACCCCTGTGAGATTTTTGTTCGGGGGTCGGGTAAGGTTCATTCGCCTTCATCAAAGGTTCAAATGTGATGTAACCATAGCTCACTTCCTGAGTTCATGAACTTTAAACTTCTTGGGAAGACCATTTAATTCCCACACGCCGGACTCGCTGCGCCTGCTTGGTGAACACAAGTCAATAATGATGAAACGCAAGTGACACCTCTAGAGTAGGTAAGCATCAGTTGTCGCTTGGGGTTTCTTAGGTGTGAAACTACTACACCAGTAAATTGGAATCACCGGGTTAGATTAACCAAATGGTTTGTCCCGGGAAAAGAAGCAAAAATAAGCACCTTGTCAATCCTTTCCCATGCGACTGCGTTAACATTCTGAAAAGCACCTACGTGGTAGGTTTCAGCAAAACGTCCAACCTAACCCGCCCCAGGCTAAAGGACATCATCCAACGTTTACCTGGAGTCTCCTGACGCTTAAATTTGGGGTCACCCAAAAGAAAGGGATTGCAACCATTTGTAAATCGGTTTCCCTGAGCCACCCTGGCCCCGACGGGCGAGCCGAGGAATCTGGAGCTGAAGTGCCCGCAAGGCTGCAGTTCGGTGGTGACCTTGGGCCATAAGGACCAGCACCTAGTGCAGGACCACGACCGGACTCGTCTTGCAACCGGGTTGGTTTGAAAGGGGGAAACCCAAAAGTTAGCCAAGGCCCATCCTGTGGTTGTGGTTGTACACCCTGAATCGGGTTTGTAGGTCGCCAGTTTGAGTGAGGCAAGAGATTTGTTGTGATCAAGTCGAAAAAAGAGAATCCAACTATGCCCCGGCTGATGGCTTAGTCGGGGCATGATCTTGGTGGAGGGTGAGCCTTTCAGATAACCCTTAGTTGGTGATTCAACCCCTGGTTCTTCTTGTAGATGGGAAATCCAGCTCCTGACCTTCAACCCACTGATCCAAGTGGTTCTGTTGATGGGCGTTGGACTTGTCATTCGGTAGACAGACCTCGGGCATACCTGGGACTTTGAGTTCCTCAGTTGCAGCCAACTGCAGTTCCTCAGTGCAGTTTGATCAAGCCCCGTTTGTTTTTGTACGGGGCACGGAACGCTTCGCGCCCAGCCAATAGAATCATTTTATTGTGATTTATCCGAGGCCAACATCATGGTTCAACAAGGTACACCCTGGAATTTCCGGTACTTAATTTGGACAAGTCAGAAAAGGCACGTGCATTGTTGTAGCGGCTGCTACCACCTTTTTTTTGGTTTATGTGGTTCTTTCTTCCATTGACCTCCAACACCGGTGAACTGCAGGATGTTTCAATCACGCTCGTGCGGGAAGCTGCAAGGACTAGGTGAGTATTCCTTCCTGCTGAGTAGTCCAAACAAAATGAGGAAGTGCCTTCGCAAACGCATGCACCCAAAGATGCCAACGCCCACCAGAAGGTCCCCGCGCGGAACAGCACCCAAATATAGGATCTTCCGCCCATTCACCCTGGAGTCCAAAACTGCCCTGAGGTGGTTTGGGTACCGGGTGCCGTTCTTCAAGAGGCACGCCAACAAAGAAATACACACATTGGTGGGTTCTATCCGCTGTACCTGATCGCATCTCTTGAGTGCTGAAATTAATCCAACATCGTTAAGCCTTCTCCGGAGCCGCGTGCGCGAATTGGGACAGGTTGGGAGACATGCGATGTGCCTTGTTTCGATTGCAGTCGGGGGTCGACGAGTCCAAACACGCAGCCCCAGAGCTCAGAAGAACCACAGACCCGGTTCGGTTGAAGATATTTACACGTGAGTATGGGATTAGCATGCACTCCCAAAAATTCACTCTTTAGCTCTCAGGTTTTTCCTATCACCACTGAGGTCAAAGGTTGGAAACATGTTGTTTCATGTCGAAGAAAAAACACACACACACACACACACACAAACGGCTTCACAGGTTTGGCCATTTGAACAAGGAACCTCCTCAACGGCGGTTGGACCTGCATTCCACCGAATGGATGCTCACTACGGCATCCCCAATGAAAGCTGCCCATTCGGAGAGCAACACGCCCAAGCGGCCTCGGTTGCTTTAGGACTGCAGCGAGCGCAAAGTCTCCTGCGAGGCGTGCCAGGCCTCGGTGCTGGCGCGGGAGCTGGAAGAGCACAAAGCAACTGAGCGCCCGAGCTACAAAAACCGACTCGGGCAACCACTTTATCATCCTCTCTCCAGTTCGTGTTGTTATGTTGTGTTGTTGGTTTGTTTGGTTTGTTGCTTGATTCCTCGGATTTGTTTTGTGCATTTTTGTTCTGCCTGCGTGTTGTTGTTGTTGTTGTTGTTGTTGTTGTTGTTGTTGTTGTTGTTGTTGTTGTTGTTGTTGTTGTTGTTGTTGTTGTTGTTGTTGTTGTTGTCGTTGTCGTTGTCGTTGTCGTTGTCGTTGTCGTTGTCGTTGTCGTTGTCGTTGTCGTTGTCGTGGTCGTTGTCGTTGTCGTTGTCGTTGTCGTTGTCGTTGTCGTTGTCGTTGTCGTTGTCGTTGTCGTTGTCGTTGTCGTTGTCGTTGTCGTTGGTGTTGGTGTTGTTGTTGTTGTTGTTGTTGTTGTTGTTGTTGTTGTTGTTGTTGTTGTTGTTGTTGTTGTTGTTGTTGTTGTTGTTGTTGTTGTTGGAATTGTTGTCGTTGTTGTGATGTTTTGTTTTGGTTCGTTCTTTTTGGGACTGTGTTTGTTTGTTTGTTTGTTTGTTTGTTTGTTTGATTGTTTGATTGTTTGTTTGTTTGTGTACTTGTTTCTCTGCTTGTGTGTCTTTTTTTTTGATTGCTCGGTTGCTTTGTGTGCTTGTTTGTTTGCTTGGTTGGTTGATTGGATTGCTTGCGCGTGTGCATGCGTGCGTGCGTGCGTGCGTGCGTGCGTGCGTGCGTGCGTGTGTGTGTGTGTGTGTGTCTATGTATTTGTTCGTGTCAGTTTTGGTTGTGTGTTTGTTTGTTTGCTGGTGTGTTTGTTTGTTTGTCTGTCTGTCTGGCTGTCTGTCTGTCTGTCTGTCTGTCTGTCTGTCTGTCTGTCTGTCTGTCTGTCTGTCTGTTTGTTTGCTTGTTTGTTTGTTTGTGCGTGTGTGTCTGTGTGTTTGTTTGTTTGTTTGTTTGTTTGCTTGCTTGCTTGCTTGCTTGCTTGTTTGTTTTGTTGTTTTGTTTTGTTTTATTTGCTTGCTTGCTTGCTTGCGTGCTTGCTTGCTTGCTTGCTTGCTTGCTTGCTTGTTTGCGTGTTTCGTTGTTTGTTTTGGTGTGTGTGTGTGTCAGTTTGTTTGCCTGTTTGTTTGTTTGTTTGGTTAGGCTTGCTTGCTTGCTTACCTGCCTGCCTGCCTTGCCTGCCTGCCTGCCTGCCTGCCTGCCTGCCTGCCTGCCTGCCTGCTTGCTTGCTTGCTTGCTTGGTTGCTCTATTGCTTATTTGTTTGATTGATTGAATTGATTGATTGATTTGTTTTGATTTGATTTGAATTCATTTGATTTGATTGATTGAGTGAGTGATTGATTGATTGATTGATTGATTTATTGATTGATTGATTGATTGATTGATTGATTGATTGATTGATTGATTGATTGATTGATGGATGGATGGATGGATTGATTGTTTTGTGTGTGTGTGTTGTTTGTTAGTTGGTGTGGTTGTCTGTGTTTGATTGTTTTTTGTTTGTATTTTGGTTGTCTTGTTGTGTACTGCGAATTCCAACTTTCAGATGTGTGAACCAACATTGTTGGTTTTGGTCATCATTCCTTTGTCCCATTGCTCTCAGGTGCGAGGCCAACTACAAGAAGTGCCGCCTGTGCGGAGAGCGTGTCCGGAAAGACGGCATGGTGGCCCACCTGGAAACCAACGTTGGACAGCACATGGCAGCCATGCTCGCCATGCTTCCTGGTCGCAGCATGGGATCCCAAGACCGGAAAGGCGAGGACCTTTGATCCCAACAGACCTTATTAAATAGTTCCAGAGGGATAGATGATCTTGATGTACCTCCTCATGGTTTTGCAATACGGGCTTGTGTTTTTTGGTGTACCCCCTTCTTCGTTAGTTGTAAACGGAACCAAGAGGGAAACCAGCATTTCGGGTGTCTCCTAAATAAGAGACATCCATATATGTGCTTGCTTGGTTCCTCCATTGTTCCTTTTGCTACATCCATGAGTAACCAACAATCGATGCCACCAGAAATCGATAGGGGTCAACTCGCAATCGATAACCGCTTGGGGCCCACCCAAATCTGATTGTGCATGATACCCCAGCAGTGGTGCAAGTTACTTATTTCATCCGCAATCTGGTACAAAAGGCCAGGGTTTCAGGCTGTTTCGCCAAGCTTCACATTTGTCTACCTCCCTCGAATGAGTTTCTCACGCGATCAACGGCCTTGGTTCCGCGTGCAGGTTTGAGGAGCTGGACGAGCTGAGGGAGCAGGTCAAGGGCCAACAGACCGAAAGTGCGGCGTCGGCGCAGGCCGAGCCGGAGCGGCCGGCCGTTCCGATGTGGCACCCGGGCAAGATTCCATCCCAGCCCACCGGCATTGGGCGGACAGACAGCAAGGAATTATTCATATCGCCCGGCTGGCCGTTCGACGAGTATGCAACTGGGTGGGTTGTCATTGGCGGTCCACAAGATCTGCCGGTCCTGGATGTAGTCTTTCCCAAAGATGAGGCGCGTTTTCCTTCGAAGCTCAGCAACTGGACATGTTGCGGAGGCTTTCATGATGCGCCTCCCTGTCAGCCCAGGAAGTGGCATCCCGGCAAGATACACCCCAGGCCGAACAACCTTCAGCGGACGGACGGGCGAGACTTTGGTTGGAGTGCTGGCTGGGGCTATGACGATTACGCAACGGGCTGGAAAACCTTCAATGAGGAGTATAGGGATCTACTGATCCTCGATGTAGTTTATCCCAAGCCTGGATCGCGCTTCCAGCAACTCAGCAACTGGACATGTTGCGGAGGCTGTCATGATGCGCCCCCCTGCCAGCCGAGAGACGTGCCGGAACATGCAGCAAGTTCTTCCGGCACGTGACGAAGGACACTGGGTGCCACATAGCCCATGTTTTTTTTCCCAAAGTGAAGCTTGGAGATGGGTGTCGTTTGCTTTCCAGACCCCTTTGGCACCCAGGCAAATATGTCCGCGACACGTGTCCAGATTCCATTTTTCCTGTGTCGGATCGAGTTTAGCAACGCGCCCCATCAGAGTCCTTAGATTTATGGGCACAAAGGTGCTTTCCCGTTTGGAGGTGCAGCTGTTAGGCTCCATCTTTGTGACCCACGACGTGGCTCTGGTCATTTCTCAAAACATGGGACACCAAAGTGGTGGTTGGTTTCCTTTTCGTTTCTTCTTAAAGCCAGCACAACGTGATTTTTGAGAGACACACCCATGTGTTTACACCCATGTATTTTCCCATGAAGGATATTTGTCCGTGCCTGGAAGCCACGCATTCAGTGAACCTGTACGGCTTGCCAGGGCAAAAGATGTGTGCGCAGCGATTCTCGCAAGCCGAGCCAATGCTTCAAGGGAGCAAAACACGGTGGTTCTTTCTTTGGAGTTGTTTCGTGTTTCCTGTTCTATTTGTTTTGTCCTATTATTTCCTCGAGCCCAGGCACACTTGTTGGGGATGCAGCCGGTTAAACCTGAGCAACTCTCAACTACCACCAAATCAAGCCAGCCCTGACAAGCAGCTGGGGATGCTGGGGATGCGGCCCACCAACCCGGCCCCCAGCAAGGGAGGCCTTGTGCTGAGCCGGGGCTAGTAAAAGCCGGGGCTAGCAAAAGAAAAAACACCTCAACCTGGTTTTCGCTGGATTTTAGTCATTTGGAGAGCTTAGTCGACCATCGACTGCTGCACGAGGCCCGAAGAGGCGCCGGAGCAGGCGAAGAAGGGCTTTCTGCAAGCCGGTGGGGGCCGAATGTCGGCCATTCGGCTTGTTTCCCGAAATCGCGAAGGTGTCTGTTGATGAGCTCCGAGGCCGCTTTCCTTTGAACTTTTGTCATCTTGTGTTTATCAACTTCTTTTTCTCCCGAGGGGAGTGTCCTTTCAAGTCTAACCTCCAAAAAAGGTGCCTTTTTACTTGTAGGCATTAACGGATGTCAGGAAGTGGCCCTACCTGGTGCGGTTTTGACAAACCCAAGTCAGCGGGGCTGACACGCCGACTGCGTCCTAAAGGGCAGCGACGCCCCCCACGGACTTTCCCAAGAGTTAAGCCCGCTAGGATTTAGCCAAGACGGCGCACGGCAAATCGTTCCAGAATGGGTGTCCCTTTTGAATTCGGAAAGGGCGACGCTTTCCATTGGCATCGCCCAGATTTGTCCTTCTTGTTTGAGTGATCTGTTTGTCTGTGTTTTCGAGGGTACCCTCCCCCCCGTGGCAGGGAAGATTAGGTCCTATGTGGCGTGCGCGCGCGGGATGATTGTTTCCCCCAAAGTGGTACGCGCGGGGGGGATGTTTCCCTCACTCATGATACACACACACACACACATGCGCGCACACACACACACACACGCGCGCACCCACACACACACACGCACGCACGCACGCACGCGCGCAAGCACGCACGCACGCACGCACGCACGCAAACGCAAGCAGAGAGAGAGAGAGAGAGAGAAAGAGAAACTGAGAGCACAAAGGGCACTCAAACAGAGTGACAAGCAATACACACACACACACACACCAAGTACACTAACACAAACAAAACACCCTTTTTCTTTTTAATTTTCGAATCATTCTAGAAACTCCCAAAGGGGCAGGGGACTGTTGGGGAATTCCGAAACAATTTCTTCTAGCTCATTGAAATTTCTACTTGTTCTATTTATTACCCAAGGGACGGGCGCGCTCTGGGGAATTCCAGGTGCATTGTCCTAATTCTTACAGCTATTCTGATTGTTACATATTTTTCACCAAGGGACGGGTGCCCTTTGGCGAATTCCAGATTCACGTGTTTTCGAATCATTCTACGTGATTTTATATTTATTCGCAATCGGCGGGTGCATTTTGGGTCAAATGTGTTCGAGTTAGTCTACTTCTCATAACAATCATCATTCTCTGATGTATTCCCACAGGAGGGTACCTTTTGGGGAAATCAACATTCATGGTTGATCTAATTCTTTTACTCATTCTAACAACTTAAGCAAATCTAAGGATTCTCGTTGTTTTCAAGCCATTTGGTGAAGTCCAGTGTGGTTTCCAGGTCATTCTGTTCTGATTATTCTGGTTGTAGCACGCATTCCCAACGGGACGGGGCCCCTTGTGGGGAATCCGCCCCTAATTATTTCCTTTGTTCTAGCTATTCCCAAGGAACGGGTGACTGGTGCCTTTTCGGAAATCCCAATTCCAGATTCATGTGTGTTTCAACTATAGTATTCTAACTAATCAACTTATTCTCATTCTAATCATTCCCAAAGGGGCGGGTGCGTGTTGTGGAATTCAAGATCCATGTTTGCCAGCTATCCTACTTATCATAACTATATTATTTGTTCTAATTATTATAATTCTTCCCAGAGGGACGGGTTGCTTTTGGAGAATTCCAGATCCATCTTTGTCCTACTGTCTTAATTATTGGGTATGCTTCCCCACAAAATTACAATTATTCTCATTTATATACTTATTGCGAAAGGGGCGGGTGCCTTTGGGGGAACTCCAGATTTATGTTTGTGCTAATTATTTGAACTAATCTAAGTATTCTACTTCTTCCAAAAAGTGGGGTGCCTTTTGATGAATTCCAGATTCATGTTTTCTAACTATTCTACTTATCATAACTCTTCTAATTCTCATCATTATTCCCAAAGGGACGGGTGACTTTTGGGGAATTCAAGAGCCCTGATTGCTAATTATTCTACTTATCTAATTATCATCCCTAGGGAGCTGGGGTGCGTCTTGGGGAATTCCAAGCTCGTGCTTGCCCTGGGTAGGATAATTATGTCAAGAGGGATGGGGCCTGTTGGTGGCGAGATTCGTGGTTCCCGCATTGTTCAAACTATTCGAACCATTCCCAAATGAGCATCTCCCATTTAGTAAGTTCTTGATTATTTCCCTATTTTCTATTTGGTCCCAAACAGGAAGGTGCCGTTTAGTGAGTTCAAGATTCACGTTCGCTGATTAGTCTACTTATCATCAGTCTTGTAAAATACTACTATCATTATTATTTACAAAGGGACGGGTGCCTTTTGAGAGCTTCCAGATTCGTGTTTGCTCTAACTATTCTACTTCTATAACTATGCTAGATATTCTGCTTATTGACAAAGGGACGGGCACCTTTGTTGTTCTAGGTACAACAATTACTACACAAGAGGTGGGTGCCTTGTACGTCTTCCCATTATTCTTGTCATTCCCAAAGGTGGGGGGTGCTTGCGAGGAATTCCAGATTCTTGCTTTTTCCAATTCTTTATTCTCCAAATTGGGGAACTTTCAGATTCATTGTTTCTCTAACTACTCTACGTACAATATGTTATGTTCTTGGGCGTGCCCAAATTATTCCAATTATTCCCAACGGGACGGGTCCCTTTTGAGGAATTCCAGATTCATTTTCTAGTCTAGCACATCTACTCATGAACTTATTATAATCATTCTTCCCAAAGGGACGGGTGCCTTCAGGGAATCTCCAGATTCATGTTTGTTCTATTCTTTCTAGTTATTCTAAATGTTCTGTTGTTTCTTATTATTCCCAGGAATGACCAGTTGCAAAAACAAGAGCCTGGAATTCCCGTCTTTTTGGGAATGAGAATAATCATGAGAAACATATATCAGAAGTAGAATCAACAGAAAAAAAAGCTATGAACCTGGAATTCCCCAAAAGGCGCACGCCTCTCTTGGAATAACGAGAAATCATGGCGATGATAAGTAGGCTAATATGCAAAACATGAATCTTCAATTTCCCAAAGGCCCGCCCCCTTGGGAATAATAAGAAACAACAGAACATGTAGAATAACTAGAAAGATTAGAACAAACGTGTCGCTTGTTCTGATCATTCTCATTCCCAAAGGGACGGGAATTCCAGGCTCTTGTTTTTGCAACTGGTCATTCCCAAATTTGCGGACATTTGGGGAAATTCGGATTACTACCCGCGTTTCCAATTATTGCCAACGGGGCGAGTCCCTTCTACTTCTTATGATCAGTCTTCTCAAAGGAACAAGTGCCTTCTGGGAATCTCCAGGTTCATGTGTGTTCAATTATTCTGGTTATTCTAACTGCTCTAATTGTCTAATTACTCCCACAGGGACGGGTGCCCTTGGGAAATTGAAAATTCATGTTTGGGAAATGTTGTCTACTCATCGTAGCTATTATAATGAGTATTCTTATTCCGAGAGGGGCAGGTGCGTTTTGTTGAGTTCCAGAATCATGTTTGTTTTTCAATGTTTTTAGTGATTCTACTTCTGATAACTGCTCTATTTATTCCCCAGATAGCTGAAAGCTATAGGGGTTCTAACTTCTAATAAAGAGAGGAAGGTGATTTGCGAGATTGAGGGCCGGGTGCTAGGGGGCATGCAGTTTGAGGTGCTGGTGGATGCTGCTTTGCGAGCTTGACGGCCGGGTGCTAGGGGGCATGCAGTTTGAGGTGCTGGTGGATGCTGCTTTGCGAGATTGAGGGCGGGGTGCTAGGGGCATGCAGTTTGAGGTGCTGGAAGGGATGCTGCTTTGCGAGCTTGACGGCCGGGTGCTAGGGGGCATGCAGTTTGAGGTGCTGGCGGATGCTGCTTTGCGAGATTGAGGGCCGGGTGCTAGGGGGCATGCAGTTTGAGGTGCTGGTGGATGCTGCTTTGCGAGCTTGACGGCCGGGTGCTAGGGGGCATGCAGTTTGAGGTGCTGGTGGATGCTGCTTTGCGAGCTTGAGGGCCGGGTGCTGGGGGGCATGCAGTTTGAGGTGCTGGTGGATGCTGCTTTGCTAGCTTGACGGCCGGGTGCTCGGGGGCATGCAGTTTGAGGTGCTGGTGGATGCTGCTTTGCGAGCTTGACGGCCGGGTGCTAGGGGGCATGCAGTTTGGGGTGCTGGTGGGCGCTGCTTTGCAAGCTTGACGGCCGGGTGCTAGGGGGCATGGGGGGCATGCAGTTTGGGGTGCT